GGGGGGGGGGGGGGGGGGGGGGGGGGGGGGGGGGGGGGGGGGGGGGGGGGGGGGGGTCAATGTGTGCACTATCCTACTGCATCACTGATTCGCGAAAACAAAGAGGTCATGATGCAGTCGACAGCAAGCCATCCCGATCATCTCCGTAAGAGCACCGTACGTTGCACCACGCATCCCAGACCGACTTCCAAGACTCGATTACTCCCAAGGCGAAGCGGAAGCCAAACTCAAAAGGATGCGCGTTCGAAAAGTCCTCGACGAGAAGGTCCAATGCCGCCATTTTCAGGACCGTCTTCTGCTGGAGAGCAGCCGAATTTCGGAAGGCGGTCTCGGGTGTGTGGGGGGTGGTATCTTACGTGATGCAACCTTCAATACCAAAAGTACCCGTCCCCGACGCAGGTCGCTGCAAAATTGTCGGCAAGAACCAGACAGCCATGTACACCTCCATACCTCGAAGGTGCAAGGCCTCTCTCCCTCTGTCCTCCCTTGAGCGGGCAGCCGCCGCGCTGATGGCTTGGCGCAGGATCAGCTCGTCTGGGCTTACTGCTTGCGGAACCGTGCACAGTAACAGTACGATAACGGAACGGAACGGAACGGTACGGTAGGGAAGGGTGCACGGTTACGGTACGGTATGGTATGGTACGGACACGGTACTGCTGTGCGCAACATACGACAAACAGCAAGGTTTATTTTTCACGGGACGGTTCGGTGCGGGAGGGTGGGTATGCAAACGTTCACAGAGGTTGTATGGTGAACCATGGGTAAGGCGGGGGGCTCGCCCACGGAAGGGCCCACGCGGCATGGCACGGTATGATGAATCTTGCCGCCCACTAAGGCGACGACACAAACAGCAACAAATGAACGAAGCCGTTGCTGCTGTGCATATCCGCCGCGACATAACATGAAAACAGTACGCACACTATTTTCTGGCATGGCGCATATCCAAAAGGAAAAAAAAAATGCAGCGGGGGGAGGGGGGCTCACCTCTGTCGGGCACGACCGGCTCGGGAACCTCCCTCGTGGTCAACAATCGTTGCTACAGTATCCGCGGACGGCAGGAGAGGAAGAGCATGGGCAAGAAAAAACAACAGACGGGGAACGCCAACAACAGAAAGACAGGGACGCGTTAGACAGCCGTTGGAGACGGCGGCGTGAGCGAGAACCAACAACGTCAACAAAACAAAAATGGAACAAGTACATTACACACAAAAACCATCACATGAAACGGAATGGGAAAAGTGAGGATACCAACCACGGACACACACACAGACACGAAGAACGTCGTGTCACTCACGACTCCATCGAATAAAAAGTACAAGCAAGACCGAAAGGGCGTGTCGACTGGCTAAGAGAGAGGGTCATCGAACCTCTACTCGGAAACCCGGCTCTGAGACGTGAGCAGAATCGAGGGCAGATCCGGGCCAAAAGTGGGGCAAACGCGATATGTAGGAACCCCGCAGACGGTATTGGACTGCCTTGCGATACTTTAAGTTCATGAGTAGACAGAACAGGGACGACGGGGTACGCAGATGCTATCCCTATCCCTAACCCTAACCCGACTTCCCCTGTTGCAAGCTTGACCCTGCGAAGGGTACTCACGGCATTCCGTGGGCCGTTCAACTTGAGGTACCACTGACGAGAAACAACGACGAGAGAGAGAGAAAACGTGATCGTGCCCAGAGCATTTCTACGCACGCAAAACACATGCAAAAACACAAAACACCGAGAAAAAAAAAACTTAAATTGGAGGAACAAAAAAAAACGTACTGGAATTAACTGAACCGAACCACACGGCCGCCTGCTGCGAAAAAATAACTTCTCAAAAAAAAAAAAAAACACCGAAGGAAGGAAGAAAGGAAAAAGAAGACGCAGAGAAGTGAACTGACCTGATCGGGCTGCGGCGGCGAAGGCTTGGCTGATGTGAAGGTCTTGAACATGTCGATCGTCTCTCGAACGCGGTCATCGTTTGAGCCGTATCTGCAGCATTCGATCGACCCAAAAATCGATCATCTTCCATAGGTCAACAACCTTCATGGTGAACAATTACGATATCATGGTACGATGCATAGGTAGCAATCAAGACGCGCACCATTCCAAAATCTCCACCGAAAGCGAACATGCAACGTGTCCTGCTTAGTTCCCTCTCATGACAACAAGAAAGCACAAAATCACCTCGCTAACGCTATGAATTCAATTTCCAATTGATCCTGAATCCTTTCATATGGATAGAGATGGACTTGTGTGCCATATTAATGGGGGCAGAAGGGCCACAACATCTGGGACCCAGATCACAATTCACAGGCTATCTACTCGACTCGTCGTCACCACAGACAGCAGCGACAGAGCGACTCGGGCAGCCGAACCAAATCGGATTCAAAAAGCCCCACCCTTATAAAAAAGGAATTGCGACCCTCTCGCGCTAAAAAAAAAACACATCCCCCTGTGCACTAGCGTTACCCCAGCGCACAATAAAAATACCCTCCATGCCAGCAAGACTTGGCCTTACCGCCTCAAAAAACACATTTTCCATACATCAGGGCTTGCAGCTTGTGTGACGCGCGTTATATACCGACTCTTCGCGACGCATGGAGGAGGCGCAATTCAATGGGGTTGGCCCGTGGTAAGACGCCTACCGCACTCGACCATTCCCATGCGAGAAGTTAGACGTGTGCGAAGATACCGCCGCTGGTGCACAGCAACTGCAAATCCATACCTGTCCTCCTGCAGGACCAAGCACTCCTTTAGAAGCGCGCTCGCGACTTCTTTCTTGCCGGCCGTAAACTCGAGGTGCGCCTGCATCTGCAGGGACGGCGCCACGAGCGCGTGTCCCTTGCCGTAGAACGCCTCACGGATCTGAAAAAAAACAAAAACGCATGATGGTGATTGTTCTTTGAATATGTAGGTCGCAGTCGCAAATCATACATATCTACAGGGAATGGAGACTACAGTACTGCACGAGTCAATCGTGAACAGGCTCCTATTCTTTTCGTGAGACAGATCAAAGCATCGTCAATTTTCTCATCTAGATACATCAAACAAACAATTTCTTGGACGTGCATCACACGAAGTCAACAGTGGCGAAGAGAACTGGCAAGAAACAAAGCGGGCCATCGCGAAAATAATCAAACCACAAGGTCGCGGGAGAGTCTCGCTCGGACCTTCGAATTCACGAAGAGGAAAGCAACCAACAGAACAAAAGCAAGGCAAGGTACTAGTCATCATCACGCGCAACACAAAAAATCAAACTGCTGGCGCACCATCTATCAAGTGGAACAAAAAACGCAGTATGAGCCCCGCCCGGTTCCGTACTCGCGGAAGGAAGAACCCGCAAACTTCTCTGGAAAACTCCGTTTCCACTATTTTCATTATTTACTTCACTACTTCTTCGTTTCGTCGAAGGCCTAACAGCTAGACAAAAGGGGTCATGTTGTGACGAC